AGAATGACAGAAGAAAAGATTGATAACAGACAGTTATGAAGCCTCATAAAATGAAGGCTGGTAGTGAGGCTGAGGGAGTGTGAGTTTGCCTGTCTCCAGTAGGGGCTGACTGCAGCACTGGTCAGTGTGAATAATTCACTGCTGTTTAACCAAGTGCCTTTGTCCTGCCTGCCCCTTCCTGCCTGCCTTGAGGTGCTCCTGTGAACATCTATGTACTAGTGCTCTGTTCCCTACAGAGATACAAGTAGAGGATCTTATTTATGTATTGTCATCAAGAGGAGAAAGTTTGTTGGATTTTTTAAGTCTATGAGTTCATGTATCCCCCTCTTCTACCTTCCAGTTACTCTTTCTTGTTTTCAGGAAAATCATTAAGCTTAGTGTCATGCAGTTGCTACTTGGTGTTGTTAAATGATTAATAGCTAAAGTTTCTAATTATTGTGTATTGAGTTAACATGTGTGGCTCAGTTGTGATCTGCCCCTGGAGGAGAATATAGAAAAATAGAATTAAATAGAAAATAGAATTAAATCCAAGCACTGAGGAGATTATTCCAGTTTTAGAGATGACTGATAGAAAAAGCACAATTGCTGCAGTGAATGCTGCTTAAAAATTTTCATACAAAAAAAAAAAAATTAGTTCAACATCACTAATAAAGCAGAAGGCCAGGTTTTACACAGTTGCAAATAAAGTTAATACTGTACTGGTGTGGCCACATTGATCTTCCCCATACATCTCATGTACTGCACAGAAGAGGTGGGAAGAGAGCTTCTGCTCTCAGTGCCCAGAGAGGGCAGAGGTGCTGGGGCAGTGCTAAGAAGTTGTTCAGATGGCAGATGGATATCTTCACAGGGACAGATCTGCAGGCTGTGTTTTACCAGGACTGTCTTAATGCTTAAAAAAGTTGTTTCCTATTTTCTTGGCTAAACAGATACTGTTCTATGAAGCAAAGGGAATAGGAGACATCACTGTGCTGCCCTGAGAGCAGAGGAGGGGTTGCACTTTGCATGTTTGTGTGCACGTCTGTCTGTGGAGGAGTCCTGTATCTGCTGTATCTTCTTGCCGCTTTTTGGAGTTTCTTGGGTGTTGGGAGGCCTGATAACGGCTGCTTAGTGAGGCAGCTCTTAGTTTCAATAACTAGAACAGCATTTGTGATGGCCTGCAATAAACTGAGCTCCTCCAACTGATCTCAGATACTGACTTTTTCAAGAGTTTGAGTATTGGAAATTTTCATCCTTTGGAAAAATCTGATTGGGAAATGCTCATACCATTGGATGCTTTGCTAAACCAAAGGGAAAATCAGAGCCTTGTCATGTCCTATGATTTTTTAATAACCATTGTATTTTAAATAGGTATTGTGTTTAATCCTCTTACAGATACAAAGATAATGCCAACTGACTATGCAAAGTATAGAAAAATTTTCCTGGATGCTCCTAAAACGTATTAGTGGTGGGTTTTTTTTGGTTTTCTAAAAACTTTTTATTGTCCTTTTACAACCAGTTGGATTTTATCTGCATGGTTTTGGTTTGGTTTGAATCCAAGAATTCTGCTTGTAGTTGTGTCAGTGTGGTATTTAACCTGAATTTAAAGGCTGAGGAAAAGCTGTGTACTGGGTCCAGCTGAAGTAGCTGGCCCAACTGGTGCCTTGCTGTATAGAAACAGGATGGTTTGGGTTTCAAGGGACCTTAAGGATAATCTACTGCAGCCCTCTCTGCTGTGGGCAGGGACATCTTCCTCTAGATAAGGTTGTTTAAAGCCCCATCCTACCTGGCCTTGAGCATCTCCAGAGATGGGGCATCCACAGCTTCTCTGGGAAGCCTGTTCCAGTACTGGTCTCACCAGTCTTACAGTAAAGAATTCGTAGTATCTAATATAAACCTACCCTCTAGCAGTTTGAAGCCTTTCTGCCTTGTCCTTGTTAAAAGTTCCTCTCTCAAGGACTACATGTCCTCGTAAAAAGTCCCTCTCCAGCTTTCTTTTAGCCCTACACCCCTTTAGGTAATGGAGGGTGTTCTCTCAGGAGCCTTCTCCAGGCTGAAGAAGCCTAACCCTTTCAGCCTGTGTTCATTAGAAAGGCTCTCCAGCCCAGCTCTGATCTTGTTCCTTAGCGCTCCTCTGGACACATTCCAGCAGGTCCGCATTTTTCTTATGTTAGGGGTCTGAGAGCTGGCTGCAGCACAGCAGGTAGGCTCTCATGAGAGAGTAGAGGGACAGAGTCACTTCCCTCAACCTGCTGGCGATGCTTCTTTTGATGCAGGCCAGGGTGTGGTTGGATTTCTGGGCTTCAAGGACATGTGGCTGGCTCGTGCTGAGCTTCTCATCAGCCAGCATGTTCTTCTCAGGGCTGTTCTTGATCCATTCTCTGCCCAGTCTGTTTATGCTTGGGGTTTCCTGCCCCAGCCTAGGTGCACTTGGTGTTGTTGAACTTCATGAGGTTGGCACAGGCCCATCTCTTGAGCCTGTCAAAAGAGTCTCCTGTTTCCTTGCAGAGAGGACTCACATTTTCCTTAGTATTCCTTTTATCACTGATGTACCTAAACAAGTTTTTCTTGTTGCCTTTGGTGTCCCTGGCCAGATTTAAATCTCTCAGGGCAGGTTAGCTTTCCTAACATGGTCCCTCATTGCTCAGACAGTCTCTATCCCTCCCAGGCTACCCATTCTTGCTTCCCTCCTCAGGCTTCCTTTCTGTGCTTCAGTTTGTCCAGGAGCTCCTTGTTCCTCTGTACTGGTATACTGTGGCATCTGAAGGCTGTCCCTCTCTATCCAGCAAGGGTGGCTAAAAGGCTTGGGAATCGGCTCTTGAAGTGCTACAGTGTCCTGGGCAGGCATGTTAACATAATGAAGAACTTAATAACCAGCAGCTATTGTGAGCTGGTGATGACCTAAGCTGCTCCCACATGGTCCATGTATCAGTACCCCAGTTTGCACATAGTAGCCTGATTTAGATGATGCACCAGTATGGCTACAGAGTTTCCAGATGTATTTTGGGGTGGGAAAAGGTTACTTATGCCCTTCTGTATGGGGACTATGCCTCTCTCTCTGATGTGAAAGAAAACCATGTGCTTGTTTATCCTACCTTTTCTAGAGAAAGCTCTTTCACTGCATTTATAGTGTTTGCCCTTTCCTTTTGAATGCTGGTCATTTATGTTTGTTTTCTTTTCTGCTTCCCCAGTGTTGAATCCTACCTTTTCTACCAACTTTCCCCGACTGACTATTTCTCCATTGAATTCTGTTTCTGGCCTCAAAGTTATTTTCTTGTGTTTACAGGGAGAGTAGATATGTATGTAAATGGAGTTGTCTTTGCCATGGTAATATGATCTTCAAAGGCTTGGACTACAGTCACTTTGCTGCATTCTTTACATAAAATGTTTGTCTTGGCAAGTTTCTGCCAACAGAGTGCTGCAAGGGCCCAGTCCTGTTAATTGCCTTCTGCTCCCACTGAACTGGTGGGGCCTGTGTGCATAAAAAATGGGCTTTAAAATTAGAGTTGCATGGTCCTTAGACAGTTATGTTCATGTTTTACCATTTTGCTCTTTAGTGAGGTAGTCTACCAAGGAAGAGACCATTGGCTCTTAACTTTTCATGACCATTTGGTGTATGTTAAAATACAGGAGTTCATAGCCGTGGAGGAGGGTAGCTAGGTTCCAGTCCAACATGGAAACCTGTTTTTAGGTAGTCCACAGGGAGTCCTGAGTTTGAGGCATCGCTACCTCTTTTTGTACCTGTTTTTGTCTTTGCCATTAAAGCTGGTCAGTGTGTGTTGTGGGCTAACAAAACAGGAGCTGTCGTGGGCAAGGAGGCTGCACAGGCTTAGGGAGAGGTTTGCTGAGACAGGTGATATGTAATGTCAGGAGCAAAACAGGAGAAGAGTATATCGGTACTGTGTCATCAGCTTGCACTGCAAGCCCCACCACAGCACAAAATTCTCAGTGAAGTGGACCTACACCTCAAAAGAGATCTGAGAAGTGATAAAGAAGTGAACACACAGATTATTCTATTGCAGCTTTCTCTAGCCCCTCAGTCTAAAACCTTTTCTGTGTTCTGATGCTTTCTGTGTGGAAAATGGAAAAAGGAACCTCTTGCTACTGCCCTTAGCTCCTGTCCTGGTTTTCCAGTAAGAGGTCACATATTGGGGGTTACCCAGGCTCCCAGCCCACTGAGTGCTTGCTTAGAGCATGACCCCTCAAACATTGCCTGGAAAAACTGGGAGGAGGGAACAGTAGCATGAGATGGATGGAGACAGATGATTCAAAGGATTTTTTTGTATCTGTCAGAGCTACAGTCTTACAAATACAGCAGCTTTTTATCAGAGGGTATTGATTGATATAGTCACAAGTGGTACTCTCTATTTGCCCTGGAAATTGAGAGTGAAGCCATTTCTATCTGTTGAAGTATAAACTGCTGTAACTGAGGGGGGGGGGGGGGGGGGTGTTATCAAAATCCCACTTCCCAGAATCAGCTTGCCCCAGTTTTTGTTGTTTGAATGTATATGGAGTACTGGATTTAGCCAGGCCTCAAACTAGTCCAGCTGTTTTAAGGTAAAAACTAGAGCTGTACAACTATTTAGAAGCCATAGTGAAATAGCACTAAAGTTGTATCAAAAGGTGTTTAAAAATCCCCACAAAATATTGTGAAGATGCCTGCCATGTGGATAACTTAGCATTTACATTGTTGGGGGGTGTTCAGACATAGCTCTGAAATGGTTGCCTGTTTTACTCAAGTCAAGAATGCTGCAGCCAATTGCAAGAATAGGGAGAATTTCAGCAAGGGGAGTGTGTTAATTATCCACACAAGATGATCACATTCAGTGCTGTGTTTCATGTGTTCTCATATCTGCTGAAGCAAAGCAAGAGAAGTGTTGTGCTGGGGCAATGTGCATGCATGGCTTAGAGCTGAATAGATGTAAATGGTTAAAAAGGGGTTCTCTGCTAGAGAGGAGGAGGGGAAAGTAAGTGTGCATTCCCAAAAAAGTACATTCCCAAAATAAAAAGCTTACATCATGGACCTCTTCAGTTTTCCCACACTTCTTCCCTAATTATTGTCCTGCAGGACAGCTGATCTATTTCAAACAGGAAGCTGTTTACAGATAACACTTGCAACTGTTTTGTCTGATTTGTTGAACTGTCGAAAAGAAAAAGACAACCTCTTTTCAAATTAAAAACTGTCAGACTTCTGTAAACAGCAGCAATGAGGTTCATCTGTGCAGTGTCCCTGCAGGCACAGAGCGTTTTGCAGTTCCCATTCTCTCAGCAGCCATAAGGTAAGAGACTTTTATGCTTTCACTCTGTAAAAATATGTAGAAGAAAAAGTCTGGATATTTGTTAGGGGGCTGCTTTGTATACAGCAAAATATAATTGACAATCCCCAAACAGAAGGGGAAAGTAAAGGAAAAAAAGAGCTTGCTTGAGTCTATTGGATAACATTGGACTTTTCTATAGAGAGGCACCCATGTGGGTTAGATCACTGAATGCCAGTTTAGTTTAGGGGGGGTTGTATTTAAAATGTACAAATGCCATTGGAAGAGCTCGCCTTCCTTTCAGCAGGGAAGGACAAAACAGTTATTGAATTTTTACTTTTCCTACAATCAAAACTTATTTTACTTCATTCTTGAGTTGTAATTCCTAGTAACAGACACAGGCAGTTGTCTGTTTTCCACTTTAAAAAGTGATCTTTTAATACAGAAAGCAAAGCAGAGAATGAAGACTGGCATTGCAGAAGTGAAGGTCCAGTAAGGGCCGGAATTACATTGCTGGATAATTAAGAGCAATCTCGGTGAAAACCAAATCATGTAGGTAGTAGTACCATGCAGAAATGCTTAGTGAGATGTAAGGGGATAGATATAAGGGTGTATAATGATACAAAATCTTGGTCCAAGTGAGCAGAAATGAGTGAGAGTAAGTCATACTTTAGTAAGCAGCAGGGCACGTGCCTGCTTTTCGGTCATGAGCTGTGAAAACTGGGATTCATAATGGACTTGCAAGTTTCCATTCTGACCTCTGTGCCTACACATGTGTAAATTTTGGTGGAGGATTGTTTTCTAGCAAAATCAAATCAATGTGGAGAATACCTAACTTTAGTTGTCATACAGTGAAACGGAGCAGCTGGACTGGAAATGACTTTGTGGATTGGTGTAAAACCAATACATTTGATGCTTGGGTATTGAAATATTTTTAAAATGTTGCAAACGTAAAAACTGCTGCCCTATGTTTTCCTCTTTGTAGCTGAGATCTTTGTATTTCATATCTATGTGATTGTTTCCATAGTCATGAACATTTAAAGCATTATAGTAATCAGAAAATATAAAACACTGATGTAAAGTTGACACAATGATACTATCCCTAAAATTTAATATGTTACTGATGCAGCGTAAATAAGGTGTGCCAGTGTTGTAGACAAGAAGTAAGACTTCCAAGTTGAGTATTCCTTTTAAAAATGTTTGGACTCTCTTTCATAAAATTCTTAGATGTATCTGTTAAAATGAAATTATTGTTTTAGTTATATATGAAAGATAATGTGTAAGTTAAATTCATAGTCAAAATAGCATTTTAAACATGACATAGTCTTACAGTCAACAGAGAAGTGCTCTGTGGAAGCAGCAGAAATCTGTGCAATTTCTAATTGTATGCTATGTTCAAGGCTATTTTTTTCTGATTATTTTGAGTGATTTTACGCTGTTTCTAAAGCTCTTTTTAGTTATCTCTAGGGCTGTCCAAAATTCTTGAACCAGAATCCTTTTGAAGTAGGAAGACTTTTGGCAGAGTAGCTTTTTAAAGAAAAGTGTCAGTTTTCTGGGATAGTTCAGTCCTTTTGTCAAATTATTTTGGCTGAAAACCAGGAGAGTTTAGCCAAAAATATTCTCTTGGTGTCTCTTGGGAAGTGTAGTTTGTGCTTTGCACTGCATTTCACTACTGGCTGAACTTCACAGCTGAACCACACTTCCCGTAAGGCTGTGTGGTCAGGGCCTCACTATTTTTCACTATTTTAATTTCCCTTGATGAAAGGAGTGTTAGGGTGTATTTTGGAAAAGTTAGTCTCATGAAAGAGGCACAGACTGGGCTCATAAAGCATCAGCTGGTTGATAACTAGTTGGCAGCTTCTTAAAATTCAATTGTTTCCTTCTGGTTTGCACAAGCCACGGGCCATCATGGGTTTCAGCCATGAGAGTAGGGCCCTTCAAGAGAGTGTCAGCAGAAGGTTTAAAGCCTTTTGTTGTTTTTGGCCAAGCAAACACCTGTACAAGGGAGAGAATATTTAATAGCATTTCTAAGGCTTTGTTAAGGCTTCTGCCAACTTTTGTACTAAAACTGTTCCATTTTATATATTTGGAATTGAAAAATTCAAGCGAGTATGTCTGGATGTTCAGATTTTTTAAGAACTCTTAAGAGGAAAGCAACCTACTAGAAGCCTGAAGCTTTAGAAGAGGTGGTTTTGAAAATCCTGCAAGGTGTTATCTCACCCATCTAAGTGGCTCTTCAGAAAAGTCTAGTCCTGGGTCATTTGCCTATAGTTGCATAAGATGTTTGTAGTCAAGAAAAGAATTGGTCTGCTTGAGCACCTCATCAGTGCACCAGTTTCTTAATTTTTCTATAGGATCCAAGGATTCTTAGCTTCTGGGACTGTTTGGATGCTGTCCCCTCAAAACTTCATCAGAAGATTGGTTAGGAGGTCCATAGGGTGTCCTGGAGGCTGGGACAGAGCAGTATGACAAATGATGAAGGGTTAAAGGGTTTACATTATTTTCCTTCTGCCCTGAATCATAGAATGGTTTGTGTTGGAAGGGACTTTTGAAGATCTACGTGAATGAAACATAGACATGAATAAATAGTTTCACAGTGCTGCAAGCTGGATACCAGACTCCAAACCAAGAACTGGCTGTGCAATATGGAGTGAGTGGAGGAGAGCTAAGGGCTGAAGAAAGTGACTCACCACAGTCAGACAAGTGAGTGATGGCCATAGCAGCCATCTGAAAATTGCTTCTGAGAGGTGTTCCACAATTCTTTCTGCTCTATATGGATGAATTCACCATCTTTAGTGCGAAATGCTTCAGGAACTAGGATTCTGGAAGGTGGAATATTACATGGAATTTGTGTGCTGAGCTTTCTTCAAACATGGAGATTTTGAAAAATGGCTCTGAGAAAAGTGTTTTCTACAGTTCTCTTTAAGAACTGGACTGCTGCTATCCAGCTGTCACATGTCACCTGCTGTCTGGGACTGCTTGCCCAGAAAGTAGGAGGTCTAAATGCAGCTCATTCACTGCTCCAAACCTCCACCTCCCATCTGCTGGAAAGGTGTCCTTGTAACTAACCAACATAGTAATTTGGTGTGCTTGGAGGAGACTGAATGATTTTGGATGTGTTTCCTTGATGGAAATGTGCTAGGTGGGAGGAGAGTGTCTTGTTATTCTCCTCAGGCAAGATGTTGACCATCTCTGGTCTGTGCTGGAAGAAAAGCTTAGACACCCAAGTTTTCCAGTAAAGCCACAGCAACCTCCTCTTAAAATGGCTGGATTGTCAGGAGAAGATTTTGGATGCTTTGTTTGAACGTGGGATGAGGCCACAGAGGGATTCAGAGGTAGTTGCCAGTGTTGAACTTATGCAGCTCTCACTGGGAGGCTTAGGGGTGAAAAATGGGGGAAAAGGATGGAGAGTGGAAAGAGAAACTGCTTCAGCTTTGGCAGTTTTTTGAATAGGGACTTGTAAGAATGAAGCTTTATCCATAGATGTGCTTAAGTTCCTGGTGCCTGTCTTTGGTCTTAGGTATGGTTCTCTCTGCGATTATTTTCTTTTTGTCCTGTTTGCTACTTGCAAAATAAGCATAAATAATAACAACAACAACAACATCCTTTGGACAGTACTCTAAGATTTTCTGTTTAATTTGAGTGATTTTCAGGCTTGTTGTGGACCACCCCAAAATCTGTGACAGTGCTGATGATTTTAGCAAATACTGAAACTTGCTGACAGTAGGTATGCATTTGTTCATCTTTAGCGGACTCTTTAGAAATGGTCTGTGGGCCTCCAAGAGACTGTGGATGAGATGTTAAATGCCAGGGTCAGTCTGGTTTTTGGAAGGACAAAATTATAAAAGTGACTGTATAATTTTAATTTTACTTATATATAGAACTTTTTATTATCATCAGAGAAAGTTTTGTAAGAGATCTAATTTTTTCAAAGAGCTTTAAAAATTTTGATATGAAAGAACCAGCATTGTTAGACGGCACAGTAATAATAGCCAGTGAATTAAAAACACCAGACAAGAATCTAATGAAGGCCTAGCACAGGAACAGAAAAAAACCAAAACAAAACCTTATTAAATAGGAAAAGAAAAGTGTGTATCAATGAGCTTTGTCAGAATGGTGTTAATAAGAAAACAGGTCTCTGGTGGCTCACTGGAGTGGAGTTATATTCAAGAAATGTTAAGGAATCAGATACTGAGAACATGTGGAAGAGCAAGAGAAGGACTGATGGTGCATGCTGAGGAGACTCCAGGGTGCTGGATCTGCCAGCAGCACCTACAGATGCACTTGCAGTGTTTCCCTCTAGCTGTGCAATGAACTTGCAGTTTAAAGCTAATTTAGAGATGAAGTGAGATGATGTAGTGATAGCCATTCTATGCTGAAAAAACTCTTTTATGGAGGTTGTCTTCCTTTGCTGTTTAGTATCTTTGTGAATTGGGTTTGTTCAGCCAGAAGAGAAGGTTTTGGGGAGACCTAATTGCAGCCTTCCAGTACCTGAAGGGAACTTACAGGAAGGATGGAAAGGGACTTTTTACAAAGGCCTCTAGTGACAGGACAGGGGGAAAGGGCTTCAAACTTAAATTAGATAGTAGAGAAATATTCTTTACTGTGAGGCACTGGAACTCGCTGCCCAGAGAAGTTGTGAATACCCCCTCCCTGGAAATGTTCAAGGCAAGGTTAGAGCTCTGACTAAGCTGGTCTGGTGGAGGGTCCCTGCCCATGGCAAAGAGGTTGGAACCAGATGGTCTTTAAGCTCCCTTCCAACCCAAGCCATGATATGATATATGATAATGTCAAAAACTATTGTCATTCTCTGCTTTTATGACTGGTACAAAACCTGTAGAGAGGCTTGGTGGGCAACTGGCCTCCAGCCATGGCAAACCAACCACGTATGACAGACTGTCTCCTAAGCAACTCTGTATGTAAACATGCATTTGCCTAATTACAGTTAATGTGCAAGTGATTGCATTCACACTGTTCCTTGATTTTAGGGAAGATGACATTAAACATTGCAGCTACAGTGCTGA